CCAGCATGGCTCTACCTATACATTAAGATGATTATTTAATGATTTATTCTCTCTTTTACCATAAGCATTTAACCAACCTGACTGTTGAGATGATTATTATATAATGGTGAGAACTTGGGAGCTTGTGCTGACCAATCTGTGGCTCCATCACGGAACTGATCTCCTCCCTTTCTTACCTATATTTAGTTTACTACTTAGTATCAGCTTTTAAAGAGCTCTCCAGTTAGAAATTTAGTTCTCTTGTTTTGCCCAAGTGCACAAATAAGTTCAGGTATATGTACATATATGCATGTGTACATGCGTGTGTGTATGAGCGGGAAGATATAAAGCATTAGCCCACCAGGGCCCGATGACTCTTACTTTTAGACCCAGTTGACTCGCAGGCCTGCCTGGCGCTCCCTCTTTCCTATTGGTATTGCCTGTGCTCCTTCTGCCTCCAAATGCACTGCTTGTCTGCACTCGGTCTCTCCACAGTCTATTCTCCCGCAGCACCTCAAACTCTCATCCCCCCTCTCTGAAAGCAGAACCCAAGCCCCTCCTCTTTCATCCCTGCACTCCTCACCCTGGCTTTCCATCTTCGACCTAGTGTTCTACTTTAACACACAGCAGGGTGTATAATAAACACTTTTTTTAAAATTGGTACTTGGGATCGAACTCAGGATCTCGGGCTCCCCAGGTAGGCGCTTATGCTGCTGAGCTAAATCCTGGGCCCATTAAGTCCTAGGCCCAATAAACACCTTTAAAAACAGTCCAAGACTTTCTCTGCTGAGCTGTTGGCTGGGAATTAGAGTAAAGATAGAGAGATCTAAGTGGGTAATAGAACACATACAACTGAGAGATGCACAGCGCCAGGGCTTGTGTCAGTGCTTTGGGCTCTGGACTCTGGAATGGGGCCACAAGAACCTGTCGGTCATCTTGGTGTATGAGATTGTTCAGGGGAGGGAAGAATGGCAGAGTGACTCCAGGAACAGTCAGTCCTACTATCTCGAAGTTCACTGGGCTGAGCCAGAGCTGTCACCATTTTGAGCACTCTTCATCTCCCCATCTCTGGGCCCAGCTCTGGGGCCTGAACCTGACCCATTAGAGCAGGACCAGGCCTTGCTGCTGGAGAAAGCAAGAGGTCATTCTGGGATAGTCCTGGGGTCAACAAGTGTTTATCAAGTCCACTGCTAACACTGAGATGATCTGGGATATGTCCAAGATAGTTTTAGTTACAGTCCTCTAAGGGAAGCCTGCAGACAGGGCTCTTTCACGGCTTGTTTTGCATGTGACACTAACCAGATCTTAAAGCCTACCTGGATCTATGTTCCTGGCCTTGGTTGCAGTGTGGCCTTACCGGTGAGCTCCAATGTAACAAGGTGCACGCTAGGTTCTTTTCCATGCCCATCTCCTTTACCCCTTTAAGAATCCCACAGAGTGAGCAATGATTGTCCTATTCTTCAGATTAGGATGCTTGGACTCTCCCTAACTCCCACATCCACACAACTTCACCCATCAAGGACTCTTTGGACAGTAAGAAAAAATGATGAAGCCATGCTAAGTGGTGCATGACTGTACTCCTGGCACTCAGGGAAACTGAGGCAGGAAAATCACAAGTTCAAGGCCAGGCTGAGGAAACTGGCAAGACCTATCTCAAAATAAAAAATAGATTTAAAAGGTCTGGAGGTCTATCTCAGTGAAAGAGCACCTCTAGGTTCAATTCCGAGAGAGAGAGAGAGAGAGAGAGAGAGAGAGAGAGAGAGAGAGAGAGATTTATACATTCAACATCAGATACCTCATTGTCCCCTCATTATCCCAAGACAGTTCAGGATCAGCCTTTCTCCTAGAGAACTGATGGCAAATGTTTTAGGATAGGTGCCCAAACTACAACCCCAAACCCACTTATTTATCACAAAGTGCCAACACTACAATTAAACCTGGATGCAGAGATTTGAGTTTAGACAAAACAACTCTACATTAACATCTTTTGTCCTAAAAGAAAAACACAGTAACACTTGTGCCATAGGTTTGCCACCACTGCCTTTGAGGAATGCTACAATGCTTCTCCTGCCTACAGATGTGCATGAACTAGGTGGTCCCTGCCCTGAGTGTGGGTGCTTGTGACTTGTTTCTAAGTGATGCAGCATGTTGAGTGATAGGGGGTTGCTTCTGGCACTGTGTGGTGTGGAAGCACACCTATAATGTGAGCGGACTTGCTATCGCCGCTCAGCTTGCATGCCTCAGTGAGCCAGGGCCTTGCTGAGAGGTCCCCACCCTGAGGAACAAATGTGGCCTCAGCCAAAGCCAGGGAGGAGTCCACTTCCCCGGATGACAGTGTGAGCTGAAAGAGGTCCTTCCCAGTGAGTCTCCGTGAGCCTCAGCCTTGACCAGCACCTTGTTGTGGGAGCCCGAGCAGAGGACCTGGCTCAACCTCCTGCGACTCACAGAGACACTAAATCACGAACCTGGATTACAAAGCCCACATGCTCCTGGTAGCTTGTCACAGATAGAGATAATAACTGAGGTATGATTAAACAATATGATGAATATCTAAATTTGTATAATTACAATAAGAGATCTATTCCAAAAGTTTATCTTTTGTGGTCATTTTAACTTTGGAGAAGAGCCAGAAGTCGCTTGGTGTCACATTCACTGAATAAGATAAAGGACGATGCATCATAATGTGTTTACTTGACACAAATTGCCTTAAATGTTTTGAATTGATGCTGGACATTGAGGAAGCCACAAAAAGACACCTACAAAAGAAGACTTCCAAAACCGCTTTAGAAAGTGGCAAGGATACTGGGAGAAGTGTGTTCAAAGCAAGGAGGATGGCCTTGTACTGTTGTAAGTTATGAAAAATTTTACTTAGGACATTCTTCTTGTTTTTGGACCGCCCTTATTACTCCCTCAGTCAGCTTCTGTAAGGCAGGGAGGGCAGTGTCTCACCCATCTATGAAGTCCCAGACCCTGGCCTGGGAGCTCTGAGAACATGTGTGGAGCCACTGAGATGGTCCCTATAATCCATCCTCCACATTGGCCTTGAAAGGTTGTTCTAGAATGTTCATTTAATTATGTCACTGATTAAACCTCTCAGTGGCTTTCTATGTTTTAAATAAAAACTTAAACTATTTAGCATAGCAACAAGGTGTGATCAATCTCCACATACCCTCCAATCGCTATTCCAGGCTCTTCTTTCCCACTTCTAACCCATCTTGCCCCTACTCCACCCACAGCCACTGATTCTCCTCAACAATGCTTTTCTCTGGGTTAGGGCCCTTGAACATGCTTCTTTCATGCCTAGGACAGTCTCTTGTTTGTCTAGTGGACTCCTACTCACTCTTTATTGCCCATTGAAATGTTGCTCTCTCCTCACACCTTCCCACATTTCCTCCCAGGTCAAGGTCAGCTTGGCACTGTGCTCTCTTGAGAGTTATAGTACCATTTATCACACTGAATTATAACTGGCTTGAAGCTTAACTTGTCTTTTAGTCTTTAAGTTCTCTAAAGACAAATACAATTCTTCTTCATCTCCTTCCCTTTCCCCTTGATCTGCTTGGAGAACTCAGTAATAGGCTGATGAGTAATGAACAGCCTTAATAATAATGCCCAAAGCTAATGCAAAGTGCTCCTGAATGAAACCTCAGCTGCTCAGGCTGCCTGTGGTGTCCAGGAGATGCCCTAGAGGTACCTAAGTGCCATCTGTGGCGATTTGCAAGTGCAGAGAAGTTTGTAAAGGAAAAGAGAAATGGGAGGCATAAGGAACTTCTTTCTGCTGGAGACAACTGTCTATTTTGTATGAAAATAGGACACTGACATTTTATAAGCCTCTGTCCTTAAAAACCAGAATATAAACTTTACACTCCCTCCCTGCCTGCCTCCCTGCCTGCCTCCCTGCACCCCGCCTGCTTCCCACACTGCGGGTGGAGTCCAGGGCCCCGCTGCTAGGCAAGTGCTTTGCCATTCAGCCTAACTCCACAACTCCAACCCCACTTGTAAGCTCTGAAATGATGAAACTATATCGACGCGCATGCCACCTTGGACTCTCCTGGACTTCTTGACTAAGACTTCAGACCAAAGGTCCATATCAAAATTGTATCAAGACCCCCAAGAAAATGCTTTGTGAATTTCATGTAACTTACATGTCCTTGAAGCCCATTCTCACCAGAGGAAGGTGCTTGGGCTGCTTCTCACATCTTCACCACCTAAGATTTTAAACAAGGGCAAAGGCAGGGATGTAGATGGGTGGCAGACCACTTGCCTGGCATGTGCAAGGCCTTCATTTCATCCCCACCACTGTAAAACACAAAATGAAACAAAAAACAAGGACAGGTCTTTCCCAAACAGGCCCAGTGTGAGGGAGGGAACCCTAAAGGAGGGTGGAGGGTGGGATCACACCAGCAGTACCAGCAAGTGACACGGCTTCAGTTCAGACAAGGTCCTGGCACCACATTTCAATGTGAATGTTGAAGTTAGCTTAGTTCATGTTTAGATTCCAAAAATAGGATCATATCTTTTCAGTCTATCTCTTATCAGTTCATGGTTGTTTCCAGACAGTGAAAAAATGTATTTATAAAACCACAGGTTCTGATAATGGCCATTTCCTCGCTTCTGGATCTTTGTGTTTGAATCAGATTTGTAACCAGCCAACCCCACTGTGCGGTCTGTCATTCAGATGGTTAAAGTCAGTTTGAAATGAGATCGTTGTTTCAGGATCCACATGGAAATGGAATGTACCTATAAGGCACCTTAGACCTTACTGCAGAAATACTTCCAATCAGCTTGTTTTTCCCTCTCCATCACTATGGTTTGGATCTGACTATCTCCCAAGTGCCCATATGCTAAGGGTTTGGCCCCCAGCCTGTGGCACTGTTGGAAGGTAGTGGCACCTTTAGAAGTCAAGACCTAGTGGAAGTCAGGCCCTGGACATGCCCTCAAATTAGGCAAATGGGACAGTGAGTTCAAGGGCAGCCTGAACTACGCTGTGAGACCCTGTCTCAAAAAACAAGAAACAAAACAAAGCCAACAAACAAAACAGTATTTTTAAATATATGGAAGGCACAGAATTAGGTGGCAGGGGGAGAGTAGGCTTGTCCATAACGGTGTCACAGCTGCTTTCTCCTGTGGAGCTGATTTGGAGGGTGTAACAGTTCACTGGCAGTGTGGGCTAGAACACGAGGTGCTGGTTGGATGGAGCTGGTACAGAGCATCTGCATGGGAAGAGGAGAGAGTTATTGCAGACCTGGCAGTCTGAGGAGGGTTCCCGAGAGAAACAGTGCGGAGCCCTGGGAGAGCTGCAGTGACAGTGGGTGGGACAAGACTCAAGAGAAGGGACCCCAGATGCAGAGGGTAAGCGTGGCCAGACAGAAGGCTCTGGAGAGTGAGAAGGGAGCAACAGAGAGACAGATATGGGTTGCAGGCAAGTGTGCAGGCCCCTGAATGCCAAGTACTCTTATATTCTCTATGGGAGGTGGCAAGCAATAAAAGGTTGTAAGTTTCTTGGAGAAGGAAAGTTAGTGCAAGGAAATTTGTCTATCTTTTGAATCATAGAGAAGAGATGATTGGTCCTGAATCTCAAGCTGGAATCATGCTAGAACGGGAAAGGGGAACTAATAAGACAACAAATTGGCTTCCTGTGGAAATGCAAAATTGAGTTCCCAGTGCCAGTGACTGGACCACTCCAAATGAATGAACTGGTGTTCCAGCTACTCAGTCTCTCTGGAAATTCTTTGGCCTGAGTCAGTCACCCAGAGTCTGGGTGAAGGCGGGAGCAATAGGGAGCCACGCCTATGCTTAATGGAGGGCTTCCGCCGTGCCCAGGGGACTCTGGGGAACCAGCTATCACTCTTCAGCAGCCAGCCTTTCTGGTTCCACTTCCCAAACTATAAAATTCACCCCTCTGAAGCATCTGGTTGGCTTCCCTACTGGAGGGTGAGCTCAGACCACATAATAAATCATCTGTTTCTCCAAATCAGGAAATACTAAGGGCCTGGCAAATCAGCCTCAGAGATGGATCTTGCTTACGGTTAAAAGCACTTTGGGTTGTAAAGAGCAGAACTGTTCTTAGTGAGCATGAGTGGATGAGTGGGTGCAAGCCTGTCATAGGGAGGCACTGTTGAATATCACATAACCTACAGACAGACATAGATCCCCACCAGGCCTCCTGGAGATGGCATCTGGGAAGTGAGGGAGATGACGATCTGCCTTTCTTTCTCTGGGGGCCTGCACCAGGTGCTGTTTTTGCTTCTCTGTTTGTTTTTGTTTTTTGTCTTTATACACCTGTCTGTATTCCCACCTCTTCTCACTAAGACATCCTTTTCTCACTTTCTCTTAGAGATTTCACATATGCCTCATGGTCTTTCTGCTTAGCCCCTGTAACAAGGACTCCAAAGTTCCACAAGAAGAATCCAACTTACTAACTTGTATTTCCACCCCAGGGCATTAGCACAGATCAACTGTCTTTGGGACCCTTGATCACCCTGGTCTAGTTAGCTGTGGGCTCATAATGATCCTTTGGTGCCTAGCATTTCCACTCAGGGAGCGGGGAAGGAGATTCTCTCAGAGGGGCACATAGGCTGCTAACTGGCAACTCACATGTGATTGTGTGTGCCTGAATATGGGCACAACTGTTTAGAGGTTATTAGACCAGCATTTCTGAAGACAGAACAGAACGAAATGGATTTGTAGGAGTACAGATACCCCCTGCCCCCAGGCTGCTGCTGGTATCAAGGCAGTGTCAGCATGGAAAAAAGGGCTCTGGGTGCTGATAAAGCTTGTGATAGAAGCAACTATACACTGAGTGCTTGCTATGTGGGAAGCAAAGTCTGTGGTAGCAATGCTACATCATGGTATGAGATGATGGGGACTCATAGCTACTCTTTTTAAAAGCATATCTTTTTGAGCATTTAATATGTGAATTAATTAATAGGTCTTTGTAAGCACACTAGGAAGATGGGTATTATAACATTGGCCACTTCACAGACCTGAGAGTTTCAGTTACTTGGTGGAGGGCACATGCAGTTGAAGTGGAAGAGCCCATGAGGCCAGGTCTGTGGGAGCTGGGCTTCTGGCCCATGACAGTGTGCTCTCTTGGGTCTTCCTCTAGACCAGAGGGCAGGGACTGTGTTGAGACCATTTTGTCCCCAGTAGCCACACAGGCCTGATATAAAGCCTACACTCAGCCGTGGACAGTCTGAGATGGGAATGAATAAGAGATTTACTACATTCCCCAGATCCAGGGAAAGGTGAGGAAACAGGAAGGAGGCCCAAGAAGTTAGGGCTGAGACCCACAGCAGAGTCTTGTTTGTAATCTGGCCCTTGGCACATATGTGGGGACCCCCTGTGAGACATGCTGTGGGCTCAGCCATGCTTTGGAGCAATGGAACTTGGGAACATTACAACTAAGGATGTCTAGCAAAGGGCACGGGGTAAGGCGAAAGTTAGTGGAGCCTCATGTCCCCAACCACACTGTCTGTGTGCCCTCTGCAAAGTGGGAGGCAGTTCTCCTGATGAGCTGCTTGCTTGGCCCTTTCGCACAGTGATTTGATGGATTGCCTAATTCACCTATTTTTTTTAATAAATGTGTATAAAGCTACTCAATGTGGAGGTAAACTCTAAGGCTGGGAAGATAATTAAACCAGCCTCCTTTGAAAAGTTCACTATCTATTTGTTATGGTTTGTATCTAGATATCCCTTTAAAATCTCATAAGGTCATCGGGTTTCTTTGGAGGTGACTGAATCTAGCGTATGTGGTCGATTCATAGTGCAATGCTGGGATTAACGGTGTTTGGATTAAAAGTGGGTGATTGCTGAATCAGTGCCCACCCCCCCCCATTGCTTTCGATATCTCCTGCCGCCATGAACTGTTGCCCCTCTGCCATAGGCCACTCTGTCTTGAAGCCAACTGATTATGGACTGAAACCTCTATGAAGTTTTTTCTCCTTTAATTTTGGTTGTTGGGTACTTTGTCTCAGCAACAAGATAAAAGTAAATAAGGTATCAGTAGAGGACAAAAAAAAGGAAAACTAAAGATTATTCCACAGTGCAGAAAGTAACTTATCAGAGTTGTATATGAAGTGGAAAGGGACACCAATTATTCCATGAAATACATGAATGAGAAGTGAATGATTCAGTGCAACCCCCCAGAAGGGACACTGTATGTCAGGCACAGTGCTTTTACTAGGACAGAGGCCAGTCACATCTTCATCAAAGTGTGTATCTGTCTATAGCTCTGTTTTTAAAAAATACCTTAAGTGTTAACTGATAATATAGTGTATATATTAAATTGCACATATTTAACATTTTACAATTTGAGAATTTTCACATATGTATACACTCATTAAATCATATTTACAATCAAGATAGTGAACATCTCACCTCCAAACTTACCCTTCTGTCTCTTTGCCCCACCTCCTTCCCTACCCCATAGCCCCCATTTCCAGCCAACTACCCATCTACTTTGTCACTATAGTGTTTTCTAGAATTTTCTATAGATGAATTAATATAGAAGCCACTCTTCTTGGTCTGATTTTTTTCACTCATCTTAATTATTCTGAGCATTATGCATGTTATATATCAGTGATCCACTGCTTTTTATTAGCAAGTCATTTTTCAGTATGTAGAAGTAGCACGAATTGCTTATCCATTTGCTTCCTGATGAGCTTTTGGGCTGCTTCCAGTTTTTGATCAATTCAAAGAAGCTGCTATGTACACTGTAATTTACATATATTTTCTCCCAGTCTTGGCTTGTCTTTTCATTCCTTTTTTTCTCTCAGGAGTAGATCTCAGGGAATTGCATATTATATAAGTATTATAAATCTGGTCCCTCTTTTCATTCTTCTTGGTATCTTTTTAAGAGGAGAATTTGAAAATTTTGATGCAGTCCAATACATTTTGGTGGTTTTTTAAAAATAGTTGCCTAATACAGGGTCCTAAATTTTCTCTTATATTGTTATGAAAGTTTTATGGTTTTACATTTAAATCTGAGTTATTTTGAGTTAATTCTTGTATCCTATATGCATTGAATTTCTTTCCCCTCCCTCTTCTTTTCTCTCTCTTTCTGCCTTCATATATGAATAGATGTTATGGAACTGTTTGTCAAAATAATTCTCCCATTTTTATGCCCATATGTAAAAAATCAATTTTCTGATATGTATGTCTATTTTGGGACTCTTCTGTTCCATTCATCTACTTTTATGTCAGCATCCACTGTCTTGACTACTATAGTTTTATAACACATCTTAACATCAGATTTAGTCTTCTCACTTTGTTCTTTTTCAAAATTATTTCAGCTATTTGAGATCATTTGCATTTCTCAACTAATTTTACAAAATAAGAACCAAGTTAAACAAAATAAAAACCTGCTATGATACTGATTGTGATCTCATTGAATCTATACATAAATTAGGGAAAATTGGCATGTTAACAAAAGAGTCCTCCAATTGGTGAACATAATCTACCAATTTATTTACCTCTTTGATTTTTCTCAGTGGTGTTTTGTAGTTTTTTTTCCCACATATTGCACAATCTTACATTCATCACTAATCTTTTGATGTTATTGTATGAGTTTTATTAGCTTTAAATTTTTTTCTGAGTCATTGCTAATACATGAAAATAAAATTGGTTTGGGTATATTCATCTTGTATGCTACAATCTTGCTTTTATGGACTAAATTGTGTATCCCCTCAAGTTTATATGTTGAAGATGCATGTGACTGTATTTGGAGATAGATCTATTAAAAGGTAATAATGGTTAAGTGAGGTCATTTAGGGTGAGTCCTAATCTAAAATGACTGATATCCTTATAAGACAAGGAGAAACACACAGAGGGCGACCATGTGAAGATATGGAAAAGACCATGTGTCATCTGTGAGAGGCCTCTGAAGAAACAGGCATTGCCAAGACCTTAGTCCGATATGTGTAGCCTCCAGAATTGTGAGAAAATTAATTTCTGTTGTTTAAGCCAGCAGTTGGAGTTGTTTTCTTATGGTACCCATAGAAAAGTATATTTGCTAAAATCAATTATTAATTCCAGTAGCTTCTTTTATAAACTCTATAGTATTTTCTACATGCTAGACAGTCATATGAATAAAGATGGTCTTGCTTCTTTCTCTCCAGTTTGGAATTTCTCATCAGACTACACTAGCCAGGAGTTCACATACATTGTTGATTGCAAGCAGTAAGACTAGAGACATCTAACCTTGCTTCTTCTCCTGGAGAGTTAGTGTACAATCTTTCATCATTATGATGTCAGCTTGTGTGTTCTTAGTAGATGCTCTTTATTGAGTATGCATTCTTAATCTTGTTGCTTTTGAAAGAAACAACATATGTGTACATGTATATATACAAAAATAGTTAAGGTAAAAAATTAATTTTGTAACTTTGATCTGTAAAATTCCATTCAAAAACTAGGCAAAGGCAACCCTGAAAAGAGGCAAATCTCTCCTACACCTTGTAGACACTGAGAGCAGAGAGCAGTAGAAACAAGCATGGATTCTAGGCCTAGATTGCTCAGGTGCAGGTCCTGATGCACCATTTACCAGCTGTGGAATTTTTGGACAATTTACTTAGGTGTTTTCACTTTTTTTTCTGTAAAATAGGACAATAATACCTATTTCATAGGCTTTTTATGAGGATAAAATGTATAAAAGTATCTATAATGTGCCAAGAATAGTAAGTGCTATATAAAAATTTTTAATCTTCATTTAAAACCATGACAGGGCAACTAGGTTCTGCTTCAGGATGCAAGCACATCCTGCTGGCTTCCAGACACAAGTTTTGTGTCATCTTCGCTCAGAAGTGGAAAAATGTGAAGGCTCAGAGTTTTACAGTGGAAGATCTGTCATCTAGTTGTGTCCACCATTAAAGGCAAGTCACACTTGACAGCTGCCTTCACACCAAGAATTCTTGAGGCTGAGGGTACATTCAGGAAGCCAGAGTTTCTTGACTGGGAAAGGCTGATTATGTCTGGCCTTGAGGTGACAGTGAGACTTCCCAGAGTATGCAAGGCTAAATTTTGGTGTCAGCATTGCTAGGCCCTTCACTGGCTTCCATGGTGATCCTGCCTTGGGTGTTGGCACTCCCAGTCCACTAGGAATCAGCAAGCTTTTCTTAGTGTTGAAAGGAATCAAGCTGGGGCAAGGACAGGGCCGGCTTCTTGGTCTTGGGAGTTGCCCATAACCTGGGTTGACCCGTGAGTAAGGTCTCAGCTCTTTTTATTTAGCTTCCTAGGAGATGGAACCGGGTTTGGGTTCTATTCCTTCATGGCTCTCTTACACAATCAGGAAGGATTCAACAGGGTCTGATCCCCAGGAATTCTTGGCTAGAACTAGCTCTCTTGGTTTCCAGGTTTGCTGTGAGCCATTCCTTATCAAGAGTGAGATGATTGGGGCTGGGGATTTAGCTCAGCGGCATAAGCGCCTGCCTTGCAAGCAGGCGGTCATCAGTTCGATCCCTGGTAGCGATAAAAATGAAAAAGACAAAAAAAAAAAAAAAAAAAAAAAGAGTGGGATGATTTGCTCTCTTGACAGTATTGTTACATAACAAGTGAGAGATGCTTTTGCTACAAGCAAGGTCAAAATTTTCATCTGAATTTTAGCTCATCAAGAGATAAGGACTTTTTAGATTTCCAAATCGCAATCTTGCAGCTGAGTATTCCCTGTTTCCAATAAATTCTGTAGTTTAAGGTTTAGGGAATTATGTAAAACGCACTAGCAGTGCTGTGGTTTAAGTAGGAGATAGGACACTGCCCATACTTGTTGGCTGATGGTCCTTCCCATTTTGGCTGGCGATGGGGAAGAAACACATTGAAAATACCTAGACTCCTGGACCCAGAGGAAAGTGAGGTCAGACAACCATCAGGCCTTCCTAGTTCCACTTTTATGCAAAGTTATTAAACACAAAAATATGTGAATGTTTTACTTGCTCTGAGTATTTGTAGATATGCGTCCAATGCAAGGGTGTGTGCACAGCTAGCCGTTGCACTGCAGAAGCTGCAGCTGCTCCCAGCCCAAGCTGTCTTCCAAAACACTGCTGCCTGGCTCCTGAGTATGCACCTCTGCAAGGTGCCCAAAGGGTACCTTCTTCGAATTTGCATATTCGTGTGCAAGGGCACAGACATTTGTAGAGTTTTAACCCATTTAAAATGTTAAAAATGTCCCCAGGAACTGCTTTTAGAACTGCACACTCAAAATTTTATTAAAAACATTTTTTGAAAAGTAGTTTCATAAAGTTAGACATTATTTGGAAGCCTTGATAGAGCGGTGGAAAATGAATCTTGTATCTTTAACCCACAGAAGTTAAATTTTTTTTTTCTTGTTAGCTAACAATGGAAACTTTTTTTAAAAAGTGTTTCCCTCCCTCGGTCTTGCCAAGCAATGGAGAAAAAAAGAAAAAAGAAAAAAAAAAAAAAAAAAGAAAAGAAAAACTTGTTCCGCTGAGTTCAACCCCAGAAAGGCTCACAACTTCCTTCCTGCTTTCCTCCCCAGGCCCCCGCCTTCTCCTCCCCCTCCCCGCCCCCCAACTTTTTCTTGAGTCCTACATTGAACAAACACTGCGCAGCCAGGAGGAGACTGACAGGGGTGGTATCTCAGCCAGGACGAGGCCGGCCCGCGTCGCCTCGGTTGAGCTCGTCGGGTTTCTCTGCTGTCGCACGCCTCTCTTTCGCCTTCCATAGGTTGTTGAGGAAGTCATTTCAGAGCGATTTTACTTTTAAAGCCACCCGGCCCTGCGAGGTCCGCGTCTCTGAGCATGTAGTCTGCACGGGACCCCGAGTCTGAGAAACTGCAGGTAGGCTCGGCGACGCCTTCCCGCCCCTCGCCCGAACCCCCTTTCCGCTGCGCACAAGGCCGGCTGGGACCCCGGGGTGCGGCGGCACCAGGGGGGCAGCGAGGCTCGGCCGAGTTTTCGGCGTCCCTCCCGCCGCCTTCCGGGCTCGCGCCGCGCCGCCAACCGGCACGTACAGGCTTCGCGGCCGCCGGCGAGGGCCTGCAGGGAGGCCCCAGCTCCGGTCCCGGTCCCCGAAGGCTGCAGCCCGCGGGGCCGTGCACACCTGGCCGTCCTGAGGCTGTACTCCGGCCGAGTAGTGGCTCAGCACCGGGGCGCGGCTCCTGCAGCCTGGCGCCTCCCAAGACACGCCGCAGCCAGGGGGGCGGCAGCCAGAGGGCTGCTAGGACTGGTTTGGGTACCGGATACTGCAGAATCTCTGCCCCGGGCACGCGCACGCGCCCACTTTCACAAAACACACTTGTTTAGGGACGGGCCCGAGGCTGCTGCTGGCAAATGCTCTGGCTAGAGCTGCGCCGCCTTCCCAGGCCTTCGTAGGCCGAGACCCAGCTCCAAGTGCAGGGTCAGGAAGGTAAACCGTGGCACCCGGCGAGGGCGGGCTGGGAAGCCGGGTGTGCTCGGCCGGGTCTGGAGCTCCGAGAGGGCAGAGGGTGGAGCAAGGCTGTCCGTTACTTGAGTGCACAGTGGTGTCGCGCGCCTGGGAACACACAGCCGCGCGTTTCTCGCGCCACCCGCGCGGAGCCCGAGGCGAGCCTCGGGGTTGGGGTTCTGCAGGGTCCTCGACGCGTACCGCGGCCTGGAGGCGGGAGCGGGCGGGCAGGCGCGCCCGAGGAACGCATGGCGCAGTCCAGCCGGCCACCTCAGCAGCTGGTAGTGAGTCCCCCAGAGCGCCCAGGATGTCCTGTCCCCAGCAGAGCAGGGTCCCGGGGCTACCCGCCTCGGCGCTGCACGCTCTGGGGCCCTGACTTTTCTCCCTGTATCTCCACAGCTGCGCGGCGTCTATGGAGCTGTGGGCGGGGGCTGTGCCCGCGGCCGCGCCCCCCGCCCTGCGCCGGGGCAATGCGCCCAGGTGCGCGCTTGGAGCCGCCAGGTCTGCGGGACTGAGCCAGCAGCTGCGCAGGGAGCGGGCTCCGGCAGCGGGCGGCACAGCGGACCCGGGGCTATGGCCGTGACCTGCTGTGCGCTCACCAGCCTAGTGGTCATGAACAGCGCTAGCGAGGCGAAGAGTGGCGGCCCGGGGCCCAGCGGCAGTGATACGCCCTCAGCCCCGAGCCTCGACAGTGTTTTCAGTCCTGGGACGACGGCAGCCTCTTTCCTTTTCCCCCACGCCGTGGAACCGCGCAGCCCCAGCGGCCGGCGCAGACTGAGTAGTGGCGGCGGCGTGGGAAGCCCGGGGCGCCTGCGGGAGGACCGGCTGCTTGGGACGACCACCGGCGTCCTCTCCCCTCCGAGCCCGGAGGAGGCCCAGAGGAAGCTGCGGATTCTGCAGCGCGAGTTGCAGAATGTGCAGGTGAACCAGAAAGTGGGCCTGTTCGAGGCTCACATCCAGGCACAGAGCGCCGCCGCCCTGGCGCCCCTCAGCCCTCGCCTGGGTCGGGCCCGCTCGCCCTCCCCGAGACCCTTCCGCAGCAGCAGCCAGCCTCCGGAAAGGGGCCTGGTTCAGGGCCCCCCCATCGAGGAACGAAGGACAAAATCCTGGGGGGACCAGTGTCCAGAGACTCCCAATGTGGCAGGAGAGTGCAGCCGGAGCCCCTCGAAGGACACGGAGGAAATGGCAGACACGGAGGAAATGGCAGCCCTCCTGGGCCCCACCACCCTAACAGGACCATACACTCATAATCCAGCGGCTCCATTGAAGGAGAAGGGGCCACCTGCCAGTCTCCACAGTGGCTCACCAGTCCTTGATGTGGAAGTTGACAAGACAGTCAGTTTTCTTTCAGAAACTTGGAAGGGTGGAGCTCCCATATCAGAGACTGTTGGACCAAGCCTAGTGATAGCCACAGAAGTGGCAGCGATGGCCATATCCACAGGGCATCACTGTCCACGTGATACCGCTCTCATTGAGTGGGCCAGCAAACTTGGGGCCTCCAACCCCTGGGAGGCCCTGGTAGAGGGACAAGGGCAGTTTCTGGGCAGTGAGACAAGCCCAGCCCCAGAGCCAGTCGGCCAGTGCAGTGGAGAGGCTCCTGGAAAGGTAGGGGGAGGGGTCCTGCCCTGTGGCAGCCCATGCTCCAGGGTGCCTGAAGTCACTAAAAAGCCAGAGGAACGAACTGCAAATGCACAGAGCTCAGAGCCATTAGAGGTCTACAGCTGCTCCACGCTGCCTGGACACCTGGGTTCCATAGGTGGTGGAGAGGTTCAGAGTGGGATCTCTGGGAGTGAAGAGGCCCAGCCACTCCCTGCCCGAGTGGGGGAAGGGTCTCCTATGCTAGGCTTGCTTGGGGGCAGTCCCACAGCACAGCCAGGGATCAAACAGGTGGAGGTGAGCATTCCTTCTGGCAGAATGTTGGAGTCTTTATCCTGTTGGGAACTAGAGAGAGGCCAGAATGAACCCCAGTGCCTTCCCAGGGATAGGGTGGGTGTGCAGACTGGGGGCTCCAGACCTTGGCTGCCTCCCATGGAGGAAGCTGGCCTGGCCTGGATTCTAGGCACAGGGGTACAAAAGAGGATTCGGGAAAGTCAGCTGCAGGATGGTGATGCCTACCCCAGACCTGGGCAGCTGCCCTTGGACCAGGACAAGACTGCCTTGGGAGAGACCTGCAACCTTAGCAACATGCCTGCCATTCCTGCAGTCATCATTACAGATGTGGGGGCCCAGGAGGATGGGGGCCTGGAGGAGGTGCATGAAAGCCCTCAGAGCAGCCTGCCCCTGAGGAAGCTGTCCTCCTCTTCTGCCTCCTCCACGGGCTTCTCCTCATCCTACGAAGACTCAGAAGAGGACATCTCCAGTGACCCTGAACGCACCCTAGACCCCAACGCAGCCTTTCTTCATACCCTGGACCAGCAGAAACCCAGAGTGGTAAGTCTTGCCTTGAGATTTTTCTTGGGTTCTCACTGCTTTCAGTAGACCTTTGATGCCTCGTGTATCCTCAGGTTTAGTTTCTACTGAGTCATGAAGACTGCCCAGGGCCCTGGGGTTGCTGTAAGATTTCCCTGTAGGTGTGTGCGCTGGAACCCTGTGCTCTGTGGCTTAGACAGTGAATCTGAGTCACTCCTGTTGCTATTTTCATGTCCATCTTAAAAAAAAATCGAGGTACTTCCTGTAGGTCTCACACTCTTCTTGGGAACATACTACTCATACTATAAGGAACACCAAAAACTTCCTTGATTGACCCTCAAAGACAGTGGACAGAGCTGCTACAGTTTAAAATTTGTCTGATTAAGTGTGACCCTTAATTCTGTGGTTAGTTGAGGATGATGAAGATGTCATGGAATTAACTCAGGCTATATCAACAGGAAAGGAAGATAAGAGGTAGGGGTCCTGTGACAGGGTCCTGGAACCTGTGGATATGGTTGTGGCTGGTCTGTCAGGCCAGCTAGGCAGGGACGTGTCAGGATTAAGTGCTCAGTGTAACTGAGGTGCCGTTTGATGTGTGAACTGAAGTGAAAACCATGCTTTAGCCAGGCAGGCTGTATTATTCATAGCAGCATAGTCTGTTGGGATGAGTTGCCTGAAATGGTTAAGAGGTAGTAATTGGGATAGGTCTATTTCAGATGGATTTTCATGCACTTCTGTTTGGGGTCATCACACTGACATCTTGTTCTGGCTACAGCAGGGGACAGGACTTTATTTCTGTTACATGGTTAATCTCAGTCATAGGCTGTTTTCACTCTAGGATCAGAATGTCTTTCAGAAGATGTAAGGGTTGGAGCGAGGAGCACTTCTAAGAAGATCTGGCCTTTCTCTTAGCTTTTCCAGAGAGCCTGGGAGTTTCCCAGCTCTGTGTGGGAGGGGTTGCAGTGCTACCTTGGGAAGAGGCTGCATGCTGGTAGAGTTGCCAAGCTATACCTTCTTCACAATGGAGTGCTTTGTATTTCCACCCAGCATCACACACCAAGGGGTTTCTGCCTAACTCCTGCTTCAGAAATCACAGTCTAAAGTTTTGAATTTCTTTTCCTGATACTCTGCTTTCTGCTGATGATCTGGAGGCAAATGTGCATGCAAAATCTAGGCCCAGTAAGCCTGGCATTTTGTGGCCAGAACCAAGCCCTGGAGCCTCACACCTGCTATCAGGCATGGACATACAACCTGTAGGGGGGACCCGGGGCACCTGGAGGGTGCAGTGATCTGGGCAGGTGGGTAATGCTGTCTGAAGGTTTGGGAACATTTCCTGCTCTCCTGCCTTACTGTTAGAGGCCCCAGAAGCAGGAGGCACTTCTCTGCCCACTCCCCCCTCTGGCTTTTGAACCCTGAAGCCTGGCTGGCACATGTAGTCATTCTAACTTGCTGTCCAAGTTTCCATTTGCCTTTTCTTGTGGTGGATTAGCAGCTCTTAACTGGCTGGTTATCAAAACAGTTTGTATGTCCTGAGGTTTGAAAAGAGGTCTTGTCTGGAGATGACTTAAGGAGGAGATAAATAATGGCAGGTGACACATTGCCAAAGAGATGTCAACCAAGAAACTAGAGGCATAAGGGGATGCTTGCAAGCTAGCTAAAGGCCCAGAGGTAGAAATGAGGGTGGCTTGTTGTCATCTCACTTTTAAACAGTGTTTAGACACCCACAGAATAGTCTGGAGGAAAAATCCCCTAAAACTGATGGGGGGGAGTGTGTGTGTGTGTGTGTGTGTGTGTGTGTGTACATGCATGCACATGTGGGTGCACTGGGGGAGGGTCGGTGACCAGCTGGAAATTATCCTAGGGGACTTTTGGGCTTTGGTTGAACAGTTGCATGATAAGCAACATTTTCTTCACGTGCAGATTTTGAGCAGGGGCCTTACCTGTGATACCAAAACGTGTGCTTCCTGGGTCACAATCACTTGGGTACCTGAGCTGTTTTGTCTACAGGAAGCCCTACCTACATCGTCTTCATCTGCTGGGTGTGTTGGCTGAGCTTGTGGTGTGTGACACAGAAACCTAAACCTGGTCTCCCAGAGCTGCTCTCATCCCTGGCCAAGTTCTCTGGACACAGCCTCTTCTGTCTACACTGCTGCCCCGACAGCAGCTGGATACAAACACTTTGCTCCCACTCAGTCCTGCGTGCTCAGGCGTGCCTCTCCTCACCCCACAGTGCTGACACCCTACGTTAAACATGCCTACTCATGTTCACATTCAGTCTCACACATGCTCACATACCTGGGTTCCAGATGGCAGGTTCAGCATTCTCATGATACACTGAGTCCTGGCCTCAGACCTGTGCTGACCGACTGGGAGAATGTGCTAATGCTGCCCCCACTCACAGGCACCTCTCTTGGTATAGGATTCTACCTCCTGAGGAACCCCCATGTGGGGAGGTACTAGCTAGGTACAGATGTTTGGAATTTGCTTGGAAGTAATTGTATTACACACCTAGTCTAGAATGGCTTACACACAGACTCATTCACGTGTACTGCTCTCTGCAATCTAAACAGAATTGACCTGCCCAGAGCAAGGTGGAGCTCTCTTTTTTCAGAAGCTAAAATTAATTATCAGTTATTTATTTTCTTACACCATTCCATTCCAGAGTCTCTAGGCCATTGAGACAGCAGTGAAAAATACTATATTAAAATACGCATGCATTTTACTTTAAAAAATAGATTTAAGGCCAAGTAGAGTAGTACAGTCCCAGCACTTGGGAGACTGAGGCAGGAGGATCACTGCAAGTTCAAGGGCACCATGAGTCCAAGGCTGGCCTGCACTGTATGGTGAAACCTTGTTTCAAAAAAACCAAAGAAAAACTAGATTTTATTGATTTGCTCTGCAATTGTGGTTTATGTATAGACACTAAACAATAGGAAGCCTTGGCCTACTTATGTGTGTGGGGGGTTCTTTACATAAAAAGTATAATACCACAAAACTCAGCTTTTTTGGTGCTTATTGCTTTTTACAGGTCATTGGAATTTGTTTCCTTGGATTTTTAAAAAATTTGATATTGACTAGTTTGTTAATTTGATTTTTTTAGTGAAAAAACTAACATATGCAATGGCAAAAAAATTTAAGCGGTTGCACATAGTTGTTTATGGTTTTGATAAGTGTGTAAAAGTGTTATTTTGGGGTAAACTAAACTAAGTTTTAAGGGCACTTTTAAAATACGTCTTGTGGTAAATAGTTTTAAGTGGAAAACTCTTTGCTGGACAAGAATGTCGAAGGCCCAGATTGTGAGGTCACAGTGCTCTTTATGAAGTTGGGGTGGTCTTCTCCTTAGGTGTGTGGGAAGGATTCTCCTGGAAAGGTCTCAGCAACTTTCAGATCTATACGTACTCTAGTCATGCAAGGGAGGCTCTAGGTGTTAGAGATGGAGAAATCAAGACCAGAAGGCAGTAAGGCCCCAGGACATACTTGTGCTCCTAAGCGCTGCCTGCCTGACTCAGTTTCTCCTTCTACAATATGTGTGAAGCAGGAGGGTGAGCTCATGGAGTCCACCTCATCTTAATTCTAGAGAGTTGATTAAAAACCTGGTGTGTTTGAGATGCACGTCAGGGTGTCTGGAAGTGTGGCCAAGTGTCCTTGGGGTGGACCTTGACCCTGAGGCCGAGGTGTGCTCCTTTAATTTTGTGCTTTCACTTGAGCCCGTTGATTCATCTGCTTGTCTGCCTTTCCTTTACCAGAAAAGTAGTTCTTTGTAATCTCATACTGAAAATGTCCTATCAGAGCAAATCATCAGCACAATGCCTAAGGTTTTTGTTAACAATCAGGCTACTCTTAGAGATTATACTGGTAGGATGCCAGAATATTAACCTGAGATTACTAATTTTCTTTACAAAAAGGGAGTCTTTGGGCCATTTCGATGTGTAAAGTTTGGAAACAGGCTTTGCCTGTGAGGAATCAAAATATTTCAGCATATTATCTTAGAAAGGTAAAAGCATTCAGTGTGCTTAAAATGCATTTCAATAAATGAGAAAAGAAGAGGTTGATTCTCAACATTATTTTCCATGCAGATGTTTAAGGTTTGCAGAAAAATAGCTTAAGACTACCGAGCCTTTAGCTTTCACAAGAAAACACACTAAATCTGTCAGGTGCTGCTTTTGAAAAATGCATTTCATGTCTTCCAAAGCCATCCTTAGAACTTGTGTTTGTAAGTGCTGTGTTGCTGGCTGAGTCACTCTCAGGGCTGTGTTGCCACATACCTGCTCAGTGAAGTTGCAGATTAGATTAGTTCTCTGTAGTTTATTTATACCCCTAGAAGTACCGATAACATTGTTTAGGCTTATTTTATTTTATTAGGTTTCAGCTTAGCTACCCAGAGGTTAGAAGTTTAAAGAATTTAATGGGAAATTTTTGTCTTGGTAGAATAAAATTTGTGGATTTCAGATAATCGGCAAATGATTCTCAATTAATACAGGTGTTCTTTTAAACTGCATTATGGTTACACTCTTAGTGTGAAGGGCTCTGTGGGTTGAAATGGGCGAAGACAGCCTGGCATCAGAGCTGATGATGAATAGTGCGCTCCTAATTCCAGGACAAGTGTCCCTTGCAGTGATTTTTTTTTTCATGACATTGTGAATGATACATTTTTCATGAATCAGAACTCATTGCTAACAAATCACACCAAGCCCAAATGTGAATTCTTGGGTAAGATAAAAAGCCCTTTAGACTGCCAACTATCTGTTTGAGATTTTGTATAATCAGTTTTCCCTCGTGTCTGTAGCCCTATACTGTAATATTAACTTACTGAACCAAGTAGTGATTGTGCCACAGGTAGACTCCACGACACGGAGGAGAGACACCCAGCGATCCTCTCAGACCTGTGGGTCCAGTCCTTTTGACTGTGGACAAGCAGCCTGCATGGCATCATGAGCCTGCAGTCAGGCCCCACTTGGCACAGTTCTGCCACCAGCTTCGAGTCTCACCACGGTACTCCTAGATACCTTACTTCCTCCCTC